AAACTCCAGTCTGCACTTCCTGAGCTCAGTCTCACTTTAAGAAAGGTTAAATAAGGTGACCAGGGCAGACATTGGATTTCTTTATCAACATCCCTTTTTGCTACCAGGCTTGCAATTTTATAGCAGCACTCAGTGATTGCTCTTAAACTGCTTTGGAGTGGAGTAATTGCCTGCACCTTTTCTGTCAAGGTATATTGTGGGTCCTTAGCACAAGCTCGTACCACATAGCCTGGAGAACAGCTGCTGTCCATAAGCCAGAAATTGAGATACTGTGTCCAATGGCACCATGTCTCATCCTTCAAAGGAGGTATTAATCATGTGCTGGACATTTTTGTATTACTTGGAGATAATTTATTTTGGTTTTCCTATTTGATTTTGCTAAGGTTATTTCAAGACTTCTGCTACTTTCCAGCTTATTAAGAGTTGGTCTGCAGAGAAGCTTGGAGGGTCAGAGCACAGAGAACGTTAAGTCTCATAATTTTCCTCTAATAAATGAAATATCCACACTAAAGCCAAGGCTTCACTGCAAACCCCTCCTTCAACTGTGCACTCATTGATTTGGGGGGCTCAACCCAGCCTTGGCCCCATGTGTTGTAAAAGATGCTTCTGAACAGTTGTGTCTGGTGGCAGATTGTCCCTCCTGGGTACAGAATGGCAGCTCCACAACATGGGCTAATGTGGGCTGTCTCCAGAAAAACACCTCCATGTGAGCCAAGCCATTGCAGCAAGGGGGGAGGCAGGAGCAGGATTACAGGAGATGGGCAGCTATGGCAGAATCAGACCAGCCTCAAAACCCTTATGACATGAACCTGAAGAGTTCAAGATGGACTTAGCAAATAAATTTCATTGTTATTTCTATTTTTAAAAATCTAATAATATGAGCAATATGTTCTTTATTCTGTGAAATTGCAGATACTTCTGTTTAGTGCCATTTTGCTTACTTGGAAAGGAATCACATCCTTTTTTGTTGGTACAGAAGAGCTCGGAAAACAATTACTACACAAAAAACAATTACCACACCAAAGCATATGTAAAAGATTCCTGAGAAGTATGTGATCAATTAATGTGAAATTGTGAAATTAAATTATCTTCAGATATTATACACAAAATTTCCAGAACAAAAGAAACTGTTAACTTCAGTTTGTGGTGATAGAACATTCCTCTTCTAAAGGACGTTACCCCTGTGGCAGGCGCCCTCATGACTCTTTGTGAAAGTAAAAGCTGCTGTCACTACCTGCACTACATGCTCTGTGGTACTCAGATGCTTCTTCCAAGCTCTCAGTATAAGCTACTTCAGAAATGCACATGTACTTTAAACTTCTGATTCTTCCCTTTTTAATACTGCTGCAATGGAGCTGAGGTCAGCAGGATGACCGCTGAAGGTATATCCATGAAAAGGAGAGGGAATTAGGGCCTGAGGTTGCCACCAGTTTGCTGAGAAGAGGCAAAGGCAGGAGTCAGCTGAAGAAGGGCTGCTCAGTTTGTGAGGCTGGGGTTCCATCTCAGAATGAAGCAGAAGTAAGGGGCAACTCTGAGAACAGAAAGTGCACAAAGTACTCGAGATTTTGGCAAAGACTGAGAGATAGATGCCAGTACTGCATCTCTAAATGGTAGAAATCTTGTAACAAGCTTTAGGTTTGGGAGATTTTCACTGCTTTGAGTAAGAAGTAAGGGATCCTTCAGGCCAAGTGCCAAACCACAGAGATCCAAGGCTTTGAAACTTGCCAGGTTTCTCAGCTTTCTGATGAACCACATGGTACCTGATATCAACTGTTTGGCCTCTTCTATAGCTACTGATACCACTGGGATTTAGCCTTCCTGTCTCTGGAAGAATTACAACCAAAAAGAACCAGAAGAAAAATTTTAAAGTCCATTCTCCTTTTGTCTCTAAGGGCTACTTCACAGAAGAGATGAAAATTTAAAAAATAAAAATTAAAAAAAGCAAACCAAAAACAAAGGGAAAGAGGTTTCATTTCTTTATTTTCTTACCTAGTGGGTTCTTTGGGGATTTCCATTTAAAAAGAGAAATCACAGTTAAATACAGTCTTCCCATCAGAAAACTATACTTCCCTAAATCACCAAACATAAATAAAGTTGCTATGAGGAAAAGAAATAGTAAAACAATGAACCACTCTTATTTGGCAGTGCAATGCCAAGAAGATTCTGAAGGGGTTTTTTTGTACTTCATTGAATGGCCATCTCTTTACAGAACACAGGGGCTGGGCAACAACCTCTGTAACAGCATTGTGATAGCAGGGAAAGCCTCCTCAGATCCTGACTGAAAAGTAGGATGGAATGACAATGGCTCTACAAACAGCCAAGGACAAGAAGCAGCTGGCAAGGTTATTCAAAACAGTAAGCTTGAATTTTGCTAGGTTGCAACTTGAATTTTAACTGAAGGAAGACTCTCCCTGAAATCAGAACTCTGTATGTTGAGGCAAATTCAGATTTCAGTTTACATCTGAATGCATCAACTGTGTGGAGTCTAATGAGCTGAAGTGAGGTAACGAGAAGAATTTGTTCCTGCTTCTTCGAACGCTTTAGGAGGAGCCAGCTCTCAGAAAGGGACAAACAGCTCTCCCTGGAGCACGTCACACACATCACTGCTTATGTGTCAACCCAGAAAGGAAAGAGATTTTCTGAAGTTAAAGCGTAGATGTTTGGAAAAACAAACTCTGCCAGTCCATAGTGGCCATCGGGCTATTCAGCTGGGGTGTTCTACATATTTTCAGGAGAGTAACACCCAGCTTCCTACTTACTTGCATTCCAGAGCAAGAGAGAATTTCTGGGGGTGCTCAGAGGTCTCCTACCCTGACACTTCCAGAATACCAGGGATGAGTGAAGGGCACATCATTAATCTGAGCCAATCCAGACATACCACCTTACTTGTCAAGGAAACTCAGGTTCTAAATTATTTTAAACCATTTAGACATCTTTTAATTTTATTTCTGAAAAAAAGTTTAGAAGGCAGTGTAGTAATGCAGCTAAAGGTAAAGAATTAATTAATCACCAAATTAATTACCAAATCTCAGTGCTGATTTACCATCTCCCCTTGTACTAGATACAGTCCTTTGGCTTTGCTAACAAGAATTCATTCAATTTCTTTTAAACTTAAAATCTGGGGTACTTACCCTAAATGAGAAAGGAAGCAAAAGAGAGATCACTTCTGTACCCAGTGTGTTCTTGTCAACACAGTGCAGGATGGAGAACTGAGAGGCTTTCTACCAACTGACACACAGCACTGACAGGACTCAAGCTAAAAATAATGTGAATATCCACCATAGGAATGCATGAGCCTCATGGCTGCTGGGACTGTTGCATGTGATGGCAGCTCTCCTGCTTTATGAATAAGAGCTGAATTTTAGTTACCCTGCTCCACTTACTTTGCAACTTGTACGGAAGTGATGGAAATTGATTTAATTCTTGCTTCTACCAGGAAGCTTGTCTCCCAGTACATCCTTTGCATTAAGGTAGTGATAGATTAGAAAATGCAAGCAAGTTGGAAGAGCATGGCAGCAAAGTCTCTCTAGATAGGCTAGTACATTTTTGTACTACATTTTCGTTTGCCTGTTCTAAAAGAAATCAGATTTTATGGCACAGGACATGAAAGAAGAAGTGACATTTCTATAACTGACTTATTTTAGGATGACATTATTTGAATTTTTAAACTTTTATCCAAAGGAAAGCTTGAATCATCAAAAAACTGATTCCCCACCATGAAAAATCTGAACGTCCTAGGTCAAGTTCAAATAGCTAAATAAAGAAAAGGTTTCTCCACCCTGCAGCTAACCCTTGCCCTTGTATTCTTAATTGAACACCTGAAGTTGTGGCAAAAGGTTTGCTGCTCCTGTCCTCACACGGAACACTGAACATCTCCAGAGCCGGGTGCTCCCAGGAGCAGGGAGAGGAGAGAAAGCTTCCCAGAGGGATGCAGCAGCCAGACAGGGATCTGCACCCTGTGCAGGAGCAGTGCTGTGACAGATTGTGGTCTGGCCTTGAGATTAGAACAGTTTAAGAGATTCAGTTGTACCTCTGGCTTTAAAGTCTGTTTACAATGCAGAGGTATGTGAAGAAATATAGGAGAAGGAAAAACTATTTGACCAACTGTAAAAGTTCATTTGAACAAGGAGAAAGTGATGTTGCACACTGATCTGCAAAAACACAAGTGTTTTAGCAAAGAATAAAACAGTTTCTCTGGAGACCTGGCTTTGGGACAGAGCTTAATGGCAGAGGATTTAAATGTGTTCACATAAATAAATAGTGTGAAGTTATTGTGTTCACATAAATAAATAGTGTGAAGTTATTTTTATGAACTCTTTTGAGTGCATGTTTCTATGACTATCCTATAACTCAGGTGTTTCCAAATATTCCTTTGAAATGGACATCATATGCCTTACACATCCATTTACACAGAGGGCTGGATTAGAAGTGGCTGACTTTGAACTGGGTTAATTTATTTTCATTTGCTGATGGCAGACTTGGCTATCCAGCTGGGAATAGCACTGGTACCAGCAGCCACCCGCTTCTCTGGCTGGCTTTGCAAACAGTTCAGGAGTGACTTGTTGTTCAGTGGGACTGTATGAGCTGCATGAAAAGGCAACGTAGCAGATGTCAGAGACTGCTGACCCCCAAATTCAGTGGCTTAAATAGAGAGAGTCAGTGAGTTAACCAAGCTTAATCTGCCAATGCTTTCCACTTTCCTCAAGACTTCCAGCTGGTGAAAGGCAGCTCCCCTCACTTGATCAAAGCACTGGCCTCCTCATCTGGAGGTGCTTTATTTCCCTATTGTGAATCTAAATGATAACAGAAGGTGCAGAACCACAGGGGAGCTGAGGTAAAGCAGCTGCAGGAAATATTAACTGAATTACATCATAAAAGCAAGACCTGCTGCAGTCACAAGAGAAACCTTTTCAGTGCAAGTGAGATTACATAAATATTGTTGATCACAAGAGGACGCAGTACCTTAACCAGAGCAAGACCAGAAAATGTGAAGACCTTACTTGATTTTTCTTCTTTAATGTTGTACTCCAGCACACCAGGAGCCTCGTTCTGCACTGGCAGGCGGACTGCAAGGACCATGTTGCTCACACTGCTCTCTTTCCTAACTAAGAATATCTGAAAAAGGAGAAAAGAATCAAGAGCTCAGCTATATTATGTGAGCTTCTAAACCTTATTTTAGGTCATTGGCAATGTAGATTTTATCAGTACAATCCACCTTTAAATAGCCTTATTTTAGCTTCATTCCACTTAGCTATGCTTTATACAACAAAAAATAATGGAGAAAAGGACATTTCATCTAAGTGAAATTCAGGCCTCCAAAGGGACTCACAAAGTTTCTATGTATCACTTACGTCCCACTTGCGCCTAAAGCAAACTATTTCACTAACTGAAGATTTAAAACTGCACTCACAATTTGTTAAGTGATGGTCCTCACACCAGTGCCCTAAATCACAGATGAGTCACCCCAGAATGTCCCAGTCCAGGTCTAAAGCAAGAGAATCACTTGTACCTTTAGTTGGTGAGGATTTGAGTGTCCATGAGAGGAGCATAAGGCCAAAGGCTCTGGTGCCAACACTGTCCATGGCAGAGCTTTTATGGGACCAAAAGATCACTCAGCCTGGCAGGTATCCTATGAGGACCCTTTTCCAATCCCCTGGGTGAAGCCATGGGGCCAGACCAAGTTTCTCAGGGATTTGTCTGTATACAAGTCTGGAGAATGTCCAAAGCTGGAGACTGCACAGCCTCCCTTGGCAACCTGTCCCACCACTTGCAGTCCTCTCAGGGACAAAATGCTTCCCTGCACCCAGTCTGGACCCCTCTGGTTTCAGTGCACACTGTTGCCTCTTGTGCTCCCACCCTGCAGTGCTGGGCACAGCCTGGCTTCATCTTCTCCATGGCCTCCCTGCAGGTACCAGGGGTTGTTGGGTGGTCTCCTGGAGGTGTCTTCTGGCTGAACCAGCCCTGGTGCCACAGCCTCTCCTCAGTGGGTCTGTGCCCAGCTCGCTGGCCTCCATCCCTACAGGTCCCTTCCCACAGAGCTGCTCCACCAAGAAAAAGGAAATATGCCTCATTCTTTGTATTGCATGAGATCCTAAGTGTGTTTCTAATTAAAACTCATTGTCAGGGCTATTTTTAGCTTGTATCTTGAAGGTGCAGATACAAAGACAGAATAATCTTCATATTCATCTGTTCTTTGATAGTAAGCTTAGGCAGAAAGGAGTCGAGGTATTTTTAAAAAACTGAATTAAAAAAATCAAGCTAATTTTGTAGCCTGGATATTAATATTAGAAAGAGAAGTATGAGTTGGTAAAATCATTCATCAGCTGCAATGTATGGAAATCTAGCAAAAAAGCATTAATTTCTTGGGCAGAGGAATTTTAAAACGTTGTCTAGAAGCCAGGACCTTTTCCTTCATGAGTCTCAGTCATAAGGGCATCTCCAGTCACTTTGAAGTACCCATGCTGAACACACAGCTTTGGGGCTGCTTCACAACCTCACATAGTGCTGTCATCTTGGCCTCTGAACTCAGGAGAAATGGAGCCCCAGGGTCTCAGGTTGATCATCAGGGCAGAGAAAATGCAAATAAATACGCAGGTGTGTGCCCTAAACAGGCTGATTTCCCCCACCTTCTGTTGCAGTGTCTGCAGGTGGAAGGCAGGCAGCACCTGCAGGGACAGTCTCTCCCTTGCCCAGGTCCTACCACCCACATGGCAGTGCTGTCCCTCTAACCACGACTGCCAGACAGCACCATCTTATAGTGCTACATCTGAAATTTAATCTAAGCAACCAGGGAAATGAAACCTGGAAATGAATCACTTCTTTTTTCCTGATCGGCACGCCTGGTTGCCATGGATCCAGAGGCTAAAATTGGACTATGGCTGTTCAGAGAATTAGGAGGTGGGTTTTCTGAGCTGTACGTAGCCCTGAGTACTGTACTTCCCCTGGGTCAGGGCTGCTATTGAAATCAGTCTCTTCTATTTTCACCACAGGTGGGAATGGTGCTGCCCTGTTTCAGGTGGGCTCCCAGAGGGCAGGAGATTCTGCCCGTGCCCTGGGACACCTCTGAGGCACCACCTCTTCTCCTGCCTGCTTCCCACTGCAGCTGAAGGCTGTGCCCCAGGACAGCAGGAGGAACAGAGGCAGGATGATTCCCCAAAGCCACTCAGAGGTGGGAACTCCCTGCCTGCAGGGAATGGATAATGCCTGAGGAGACTTGGGGCCATGCATGGCTACATCACAGACAGTCATGCACATCTCCACTTACAGACAGAGCACAAAACCAAAGAGGATTTCTTGCTCAATCTAATTGAGAAATCTGATTCAGGGTGAGGTGCACTGCACAGCCTAGGCTGCTCAGGTGAATCCCACTGGAGGGTGTCCCTTGGCTGTGCCAGCATTTAGCCCTGGGATAGACTGGCTTGGCCAAGGGACAGGTCCAAACATCCTCTGGACAGGTCCAGAGCAGGTGTGCCCTGACATCAGCTCAGGTAATTTACACCTGCCCTTCCCAAAGGATGCAGCCAGGACATCTACAGCCTACTATGCCTCACCTCTCAGACCTCTCAGAAAAGGGGATCAGCTCCCTTTGGCACTTTTTTCTGTTTCCTTAAACGAGCTCTAAGCTTTGCACAAGTGTATAATTCTCTAACACTCAGTTTATGTAAATCAGATCCAGATATCAATTGTGGCAATAAAAATTACTCCCCAGCAGCTCCCTGAATCTAAGGTCCTTTTCTTCACAGATTTTTTTTCATTGCTCCAGATCAGGAAAATCACCATATTTGTGGGTATGGTGGTGAATGGGAAACCATCTCCATGAATCTACATGGTAAACAAATAAACCCAGAGATAATATTCCTTGTTTTCCCAAAGACAATATAACTGTTTGTGCTGCTGAGAGAGGTAAAGCATCAAATGGTAATGAAAACAGAGAGCAGCCTGCTAAATATTTTTGCTTCCACATAAAAAAAAAAAAAGCACTGCTCTCCTAACCAAGGACAGGAAATGTGGTTGTCTGAACTGAAATTGCTTTGGACTTACCCCTGCTGTTTCTTTGCCAAGGATCGCCCCGGCCCTTTCCTGGCTCATGTTCAGCTGAAGCCAGACAGGACATGTCTTGATGAGTTTGTCAAGGATGCTGATCCCTGGAAGCTGGAGGCAATTTCGCACAGCATTGGCCGGACAGAGATGTGTCTCTTTCCCCTCTTCACTGGCATGTCTGACAGGGCTGAAACACAGCAAGGGAGTCCCTGGTAAGCAGAGCTGCAAACAGAGATCTGGGCAGAGCAAGGACTGTGAGTGCAAACACAGACACGGGCACTTACACATCAGGAATGCTCCTTGGGGGGCATCAAACCACCACAGGCACGCTGTTATGCCAGCAGGCTGGCAGGGTGCTTTGTGCTGAGCTCTGCTGGTTTTGGCTCACCCACAGATGCTGCCCAAGACACAGGTAAGGGATGCACAGGGGCAGCCAGAGCCACAGAGGGTTGAGCATGCCTGTGCCCTGGATGCCACCCTCCAGCTGAAGGGTCTGAGAGATGTTTCATGGTTCAAAAGTAGCCATGCAGCAGAGGAGTCCCTGCAGTCTAATGGCAGACTGGTGATAAATACTGGCTTCAAGCTATGGTGCTGATTTGACAAAGTCTATTTATACATGTGCTTGGCTCTGCAGGCAGTGGAAATACTTGTGCTGAGAAGTCTGGTCACAAGAGCTCTACTGGATAAGACCATGGACTCATGGGGATATGGGCTTGTCATAGTTTGGCCAAGAAGTGAGTTTCTGGAAAAGTCATGATCAAACCAGTCAGTGGTCAGATTTGAAACTGGCACTTGTGGTGGCCACTGAGGATTTGGATACGCATCTGAGAACACACAGGGGTTAAAAGCAAAAGATTCCCAGAGAACTTCCTCTTTTGATCTGGTGGTGAGTGGAGTCTGAGTGGAATGGGCTTGTCATTCATTTGACTAATTGATTTTGCATTTATAGAGAATGTAAGAGAACATACACAAAAACTGTTTTGCTGCTCTAATTTTCTGCTTAGAGGTCAGAACTGAAAATAGGACTCTCACTTTTTATTTGGTCTTACTTCAAATATTTTTCCTTTTCCTTTTATTTTTAAAGATACAGATCTTAAGGTACTACATTTCAAATAAGGTCAGTCTTAAACTACTAAAAGAGAGTAATTTCAAAGGCCTAACCTAACACAGCAGGTCTGTCCCAAAAGTCAAATTGTGTAAAAATAGCCTTTCATATCCCAAAAGCAACACAGAGATTTTATTTTTTAGTAGTTTTTTCTTTTTTCAACCCTTCACAGACAGCTTTCTCAGAAAATACAGGTGCTTCTGTAATTTGGGTTGTAGATAAAGTTATTATTTCACAGAACCTATATTTTAATCAATCCTTTTTTAAGATCATAGTCAAGACAGTAGGAATGAGAGAACTGTGCTTTAAAAAAAGCAAATTTAAATAAGTGAAACCTACTTGTCATAAAAGCCCAGTTTGTCACATAGGTGAGGGAATTTCTTTTAGATTTAACAGCATGTGATTTTAATCAATATCATCTGAATATATCAAGAAAAACAATGGAATACAGCTTTAGGAAGTTACCCTGAGTCATCATTGGGGTTTTTTTACAGAAGAAACAACCAAAAAAAGGCCTTGTAACCATGTGAAAGGAAAACATGTGTTGGATGGCAATATTCATACTCAGTAGTGGGAAAGAAGCAATGAATTGAAGGGAAAGAAAGTTGACATATAATGACTGTTCCATAACAGCAAAAATTACTCCCCTAATTAGTCACAAAGACTTGAACCCTATCACATCTGAATGATGTGTGAAACCTCAGTCAAAAGGAGGTCAATGCTGATAATGTCTTGCTGTGTCACCAGAGGGTGAGGGAGCCATATCTCCTGTCTGAGGAACTTTGTTAGCCATTAATTATGTAAGGTGGGGCCAGCAAGGCACTGATGCTCAGGAATCCCATTGCCTGGAGGGAAATGAGGGTTATCAACACAGTCAGGAAAACAACACAAACCAGCTCGGACCTGCTGAGCATCAGGCACACAGTGATCCTGGCACTGGCCCCCTGCAGGCATCCATCCCTCTGCTCCCTCCCTCGGGCACAACCCCTGAGAGCCCTGCTCACAGGACCAGCTGGGGCTTGGTGAGGCCAACAAGGGCAGACTGGTGAGGAAAAATAACAGAACTGACCTTCCAATACATGTGGCTGCATGTAGGGTCTGAATTTTGGAGAATGGATAGAAAATTGAAAATAATTCCAAACTCAGAATACAAGATGAAAGAGTAAGAGCCTGAAGGTGCTTGCCCTGATGGAAAATCTTGTTATTTCAGTGTGTAGAGTCTTTCAGTGCAGCAAATTTAGGGTATAAGGCTTTTTTTTTTTTTTTTAGCAGAACAGGCAGTCCAATATTTTGTGGGCCCTCAGGGATGAGGTATTCTCTCAGAAGCCAGACCAGCCTGGAAAGAGCTAAGCAGGCTCTTGTACCTGTAGAGAGGGATGAGTGAAAGGGGAGACTGTGGCAAAAGGACAGGCAGGAAGTGTCATTAAGGGGATCATATGGAATCAGGGGAATGTTTGGTGAGACGTTTCCTGCCAGTGAGTTATAAGAGATGATGGATAAATTCCCAAAAGAAGAGGAAGAGGATTGCATTGCCCAAATCTCTTAAAACGTCGGATTTGGAGCAGCAGCACACACTTTATTGAATCAAATCTGTGCTGGCTAAGAAATGGGAGTGCATGACCTCCCAGACCTTTCTCACTGTAATGCTCTGACCCATGACACACCAGTTGACGCAGTTATGGCACCGACGCTTGACTTCTGTCCTGGGCACAGCTGTCACAAAGATTTGGATGGGGCTGTGGGAATGTTTAATCCAGCAATTTAATCTGGCTCTGTGGTAGCTCTGTGGCTGCACAGAGAGGAGGGAGCCCAGGCAGCTCCTGGGCTCTTGCTGTGCTGCCAGTTGGAGGAATTTCCAGGGCCACTATGGTGAGCAGCTTGCTCACTCAGAATTCATGCATCAGATTATTTCCAAAGCCTCAGTTTTCAAAAATAACATAAAACTGTTCTTGTCCCACAGTCCTGCAAAACCCTTTGGCTGACAGAGGCAGGTGCTCATTTTGCTAGGTGTGATGTGAAGCTGAAAAGCTGTCCCTAGAGCTGCCTGCTTTCCTTTTCTTTTCTTTTCTTTTCTTTTATTGAGTTCTTACTGCAAAGTATGTTTAAATCTTGCAGTGGTTCTGCTAAATTGGATTCAGCTGGGAAGCAGGGAGCTGCATGCTGCATATTGATTGGCAGCACAGGCTAATTAATTGCACAGTGATTACATTCACACACCTGCCCCAGGCTTGCAGAAGGCATCAGGTTGCTTGTTGGAGGCAATACAATGAAAATGATGGTTTGAATTATTGCACAGTGACTGTACACTGCAGTAATGACCACCATGACTCACTGCTTTAAAAACCAGGAGCCACACTTGCCAGTTGAATATTCCCAGAAGTCAGCAGACCAGATAGGAGATATAACCCACTGAATACTAGGGTTATATACCTACTGGTGCAGGTGAAAGCCTGAGCATACCTTTGCATGGGGTTTCAGAAATATTGTCACAAACCTGCTGACACTAAGGGCTTCCTGGCTGGACTATATGTAGCTGGTCACTCTGAATTTCCCTGAGGCAGCTGAGACACAGCAATTGTGTGAAACGGCAGCAGGGACTGCCAGATTAATTCTTCACTCCTGCACATTTGCTCTGAGAAGAAACATAGTGTATTTTTAAAATTAAATCTTAAATTGTAAATCAAATGCTCTGTAGTGCACTGATACGTAATGACAGAGTGCCTTAGTATTGTTTAAGCAGACCAGATTTAAGAATTAGGAGCTAGTCTTTTATTATTAAGTTTTATTGCTTTTGCTTCTCCCTCTGAAAATGAGGAGACATCAAGAAAGAGCAAGAGCAAAGGTTTGCTGTGCTGCCCTCAAGGAGAGAGATACAATGGTATATTTACACTTATAGAAGAGCAGGAATCACAGGTCAGAATGTGTGTGAGCTGGCTTGGTACTGAGGGAGAAATACAGACAGTCACAAGTCCATGTGCCAGGTGATAGAGCAGAACCGAAGCTACCTGGTACCTGAAGGGATACCATTTGGGACAAGCCAGCTTGTGGCTGAAGCTGACTTGTGGAAACCCTTCAAGCCTAATGGTTATAAGGAGCACTTATAGCAGGAGGAAAAGATAGAAGTTTCTGAAGCCAACAGAGCAGTCCTGATGGAAACTGATAGGCAGTGCTGTTAATTCCTGTGGTTAAAAGAGATATTTGGGAGCATGGAGCTTCATGGAGTTGGGTGAGAGTGACAGAAGACTCGCAGGGCTGGTTTACATCTTGTGTCACAACCAGCCCAGCTGGACTCAGCTGCAGGGCTCTGTGCCACTGGCAATAGAGGCAGATCTCTTTTTTTCATGGTCACCTTCTTTCCTTACAGGAATAATTGGAGCTACAAGAATAGCAACTAAAGTACAAGGTTTCACCCACTGCAAGAAACAGAGCTGCTTTGTTTGGTTTGGTGTCACTTCTGATTACACAGATGTTAAGGAACACATTGAATGGAGGTAGCTTGGTGTCCTAACTGCACAGACTTATTAAAAGTCTTTGTTCAGACACGCGAATTTGTGTGCTGTTACTTTCAGTTCACTGTGAGAGAAATTATGCAGTGCCACAGCTAAAGGACATCAAGCTTCATTTTGCTTCCACCCTAGAAATGGCCAGTTTTTGATACCATCTACTTACACTCATAAGCTAGCCCATCTTTGATCACTTCATCCGTTCAGCTCAAATTAATCTGAGATGGAGGAGAAGGATTCATTTATCCTCTGGACTTGCCTTTGGTCACCTTGCTGGGTTCTTCTTTCTCCCAGCTGGTGGTGGAAGTGAGACCCTGAACCCAACCTAGCTGCCGGAAGAGCTCCAACATCTTTGAAATTCTGGAATCGTTTCATCATAAAACAGAGTATTAGGAAGATGGGAAGGCAGCAAGGTGATATATTGAAAAACCCATAGCAAAAAAGCTAATTTTGTGCATCAAACGCGAATGCTGACTTGCAGAAAATTCAGGTTTTAATAAGTGCTTTTTCATAACAGAGCCAAGGGATCTTACAAAAGTCAAACCAACAAACTGAAATAAGATAACCAACAATGGAAAA